AAAGATGCATTCACACTTTAAATAATATAATATATAAAGTTGGTATTTATTAAAATGCATTTCATTTTCTAAATGCAACAGAATGTACAGATATTATTTTTATATTTATATTACAGATATTTATTAATATGTGTTTATACATTTTTTTGGAACACCTTGTATAATTATTTTTTAAGGATAAAAGAATCGATATCGATTTCGGTATCGACTTCATGTTTTAAATTAATATCATGAGTGCTTCATTTTGCACATAAATTCCCAGTGTAGTTGTTACATGTTTTCCCATTAACCAGAATAAACCCCACACGTGATCCTAATATATTGTTCAAGTGTTTATTGCGAACAGCAGTAGTACTCTACAGACGTTACAAACTCATAAACGATAAGACTTTACGAGGCGTGTTTATAATGGAACTCCGCAGATACTCGATATCAGTGGGAAGCAATAAATTCTGATTTATACTTTTCACGACGGTGTGTGATCAGACTCCATTGTGTTTTCATTAATGACTATCGTCATTCATGAGTATAGATGCACGCCGGGAGACGGTTGATGACTGCTTCAATGAAGCGTTATCGGACGATTCATATAATACAAAAGTACATAACAAGATCCACGTATCGAATCCATTTAATCTTTGAATATTTCTGATACGAATGTAATAGTGAATTCTAAATGTATTGAAATTTTATTGTAGTTTTTAGAATATAATTTATGTTTAACATTTAATTATATTAATTATGTATTTTGGCAATATTGGATAAGAATAATTGACATTAATAGTGAATTTGATAATAATTTAATATTCTTGTTCATTGATTGTACTTAATATTGATTGTGTGCCAATATTGAATAAAAATGCACGATACTGATATCGAATATCAATTATATCTCGATGACAGGTCGATTGAGACGTGTCTCAAAAATATTTCTTATAATTCGATTTCGATGATTTCCTATTCAGCAATGCGATATTACTTCAGGGTCTCGCCAAAAAACGAAGTCAATTTAGTCCGGGAATCGAGCATTGCCAAAATTTTATTTTAATCGAGCCGAATTCGATGTCAGGTGAACGGTGTTGTGGTACAAAAACTTTCAATCATCACTCGGTCATGGGCCTGGAGAATTTTTTTACGAATTCGACTGTCTCGTTGATTCGTGATCGAGCCGACTAAAATGCAGCTACCGTCACCGTCGAAGCATGGATTTATCATTATTTATGATTCTTTGCTAGTATCTGAAATTTTGATTTGATTTTATCTTTTATATTTGATAATCTGTTACTAAATAATCATGTAAAGTTGGGCAATTTTCAGAACAAACTTCGAGATGCCATAATTTTTTTAAATAGTGCAAATTCTATTCTATAGAAATAAATAGTGTATATAATTACTTGCAAATAGTATATGTATAGTAACACATACAATATTCTAGTAAGAAATACATTGTCCATATAGTAAAATTTTCAGATTATGTGTGTTCATGTAACAGGAATTTCTATCGTACACATATTTCAGAATAAGATCAAGAAAAAAATTTCAATCAGGAAGATATTTTCTGTTGACCGTACGTTATTGTCCGGTGCAACTTGTTTTTAATTAAACTCCTTTATGTTCTTTTCTTGCCTGTACAATCCCCTCTTCTCATTAGAGAAGATCGATCATAAAAAAGAGAAGTTAACGGCGGCCGAAAATTTAGATCGACTCCCTCGCGATCGTACAAGAAACTTTAATGCGCGGTGTGGTCCCTGCGGTGAACAGAGACAGAGAGCTCCAAACGGCCGATGGACCTTTAGATGAAGGCGAATCCTGCCATTAGCAGCGACGGTAGACAAAGGTCTGACAAGTTTATGGCATTTCGGACAGATTTAGTCCCCGAACCTCCGGTAGCTGCTCCGTTCGGCTCGAAGATATTCGCGAAAGTTAACTTTAGTAGCCACCGTCCAAAAGAAAATCGTGCGACAATTCTCCGACTTTTACTTCCCTCGTTTTGCTAGATACTCATCTTTTACGCTTGAGTGTTAATTCTGACGAGTATTCAGTTTCTTCTTAAATGCAAAAGATAATTGGATCTCCATTGTTTGCAATACTACAAATAGGTAGACTAAGTCGATCAATTATTATCTGAAATGGCTAAGTAGACTGTCAAACAATTATCATCTGGAATGACTAATACTTGTTTATTACTTGTCTCACAAGAAACTGTACACAAAATTACACGATAGAATTGGTCAACGTATTCTTATATTTCAACAAACTAAAAAGTGTCAACGTTTTCTAGGGAAATGAAAAAAATTGACAATCACTGATGGGAATTTTCATCAATTAATTCTGTATCCATCCGTGTATGTAACTTTTACTGTCCTTTAGGGTACAATATCCGGTTACTTCGTTGTGAGATACCTTATACGAGGTCCGAAGATGTGTTAATTACGAAACTGGTAAGGCGTCAATAGTGAATGTGCGAATTTTACGACTTTTAATTTAGCACAAGTCAACGCGTGAATTATAATCCTCGTAACTCTTTCCGAGATAATGTATAAAGCACGTAAAGTTCGTACGCGTTTTTCGTGGTACGATCTAAGTACCTGCTTCAGATTTAATGTAATATCCTTACGTATAAAATATACGTACAGCGAATTCATAAATTAGAACACGTAATTTGTAAATAATCGTATATAGCATTGGATTTATTTTTGTTTATTCATATATATCTTCAATTAAATATATTCATGTATAAATATATAAAAATTGATATATATTTTATGAATATTGTTTCTTTTATTATGTATATAAACTTTACATTACATTGACAATCACTTGTCTTAAATATATCCAAGTATATACATATAAAAATATAATATGCAATAATAATAATAATAAAGTGACAACAGCAAACACATACTTAATACGTAATATACGAGAATATTTGAATTGAATTAATACTGAATATTTTAATGAATTAAATTATATACACAATATATATGTATATTATTAATGATACATATATTTCATTATATCATATACGGAGGTTTACGTTACTTGCTATTTGATCATAGTATAAATCGTAAAAGGAAAATATTGGCACTTACCCCATGTTGAACGCTGTAACGACATCTCGCCGCGTGACCGGAACAGACGCACCTCCCGCCGATATTAATTTCCTTTATCGAGTAAAACGCGCGCCTCTTATCTGTGATTGCCTCACCGTTCCGCCGAAGTCCCTGTAGTCGTAGTCGCACGAATCTGGCCTGCGTGAATTCTTGGAGGGTCGCACTGTGATTCAGGGCACCAGGTCTACCATTCACCAGGTGAGTATGGATCTGCGAACAGAAAACGTCGCTTGTATTATTAATTATTAATAACAGCAAGACGTAGACTTATTACGCGTTTTGCATTTGGTCTCCCTGGGGGAAATTAACACAGGCCCGAGCTGGCGCAGTTTCATTGTTACTAGTTATACAAAAGATTCGATAGATCCACCGATCTTCGATTGAGAAGCGAACAAAAAACATGTAATTCTTCTTATGCCCATTGGGGGTTAATATTAGAATTAAACTCGTTCTGCTCTCGACTTGAGCCACTCGCGCTCCGTCGTCAATCTATTACGTGAAAAACAAACGGTACTAAATCTAAGAGACCGATGAAATCAGAGGAGTAAATCATTCGCGAATGGTGCCACGGCACGGTGCCGTGGTCAGGACGAAAACGAGTTCCATAACCGGCGTTCCGCGGCTCCTAATACGGAACAATTACACGAGTTTAGGTATAAACGCGCCTACACTTTCCTGTGTGTTCAATTTTTATCTCGGCAATTTTTTTCTCCCCGTTACATAATTTAATACCTCGGCGACGTGACCTTTTGCGTCGGCATTCTTGTTGAAATAGCAGAATTGCAGACGTAGAGTTTGAAGAATTGCAGAAGTGTGGATGGAACCAATACGACGAAGGAATTAAATAATTTTTAGTTATGAAATCTGTAAGCCTTATTTTTAATTTTCACTTCGGAATCCAACCCTCTTGCATAAAAAATGTTTCTATTTTTTAATTGAAAGTGAATTCTTTGCGAAATCGTGACCACCGCTGTACACCGATCGAACGCTTTGTATTTTTCCAGTTTTCGATTTTTTTCTCGCCTCGATTCTTAGCCGCGTAAAACTGGCAACCCTCCATAGGAGGTGCGTACGTGATAGTCCCATATAAGGCGAGCCTACGCCGTACAAGGCCGGTATGTAGGGATCGCCGTTTTTGTATCATCGATTCGCTCTTCCTTTCCCTCTCTTTCCGCCACCGATCCCCGGATCGTTTCCTCACAAAACCAATCCTGTGTGCGCGGCCGTAAGCTCTAATTACCCGTTGCTCTTCCAAGAAACCCGCTAATTCGTCCCCACCAGATGTTTTTCGCGTTTTCACAACGCTTATTATGGTTTTACGAATGTAACCCATGGTTCCGCGACGCGTACTTATAGTAATCTCAGAATGCATGGTCACCGATCGGGGCCAAGTTGGCCATATATCCGGAAAGCTGAATTTCCTAGTCATTCGAGAGCGCAACATAGGAAAAATTAAACAGTCTCGACCACGATCTAAGATCGTGGTCTCGACTGTGCGAGTGCGGCAATAATTGAAAGAGGAGAAGAATAAGCAGAGGTGAATCTCGATGCTAGCAAAAATGTTTTAAACAAAAGTTGTATACAATTTTTAAATAATAATATAATAAATTTTAAATAATAGTAAATTAACTCCAATATTTTCAAATCGTCGTGAGTTTCTGCACATTCAATTCTGTTCTAAATGCATGTAATGCTACTTATAATTATCATTCACGCTTTTCATGCTAGTTAATATTCATTAGTTATGAAACAACTCGATAGGAATGAAAAATATATGATTTTAGATAATTCGTAGCGACTAATCTTAAGCAATTCCATTGCTGGATAAACACTGAAAGCCATTTAAAGCTAATCGATCATATCGACACGCAATAGGCACTTCATAAATTATTCAATTAAATTGAAAGACATGATATTACCATATGGAATTCTTACATTAATAAAAAAATTCTCATGCTTCGCAGTGTTTAAAGACATTAATAAAAAATATATCATTTAATTGCAAAAACAAGATAGTGCAAATGCAGGATACAATGAATTATATATTACTCACTGCGTGAAAATGATGAATGTTCTTACCTCTCCGTTCTCCATAGGAGTCTGTCTGGAGTAAGCGCTGGTGCATATGACATCGTCGTCGGCCATGTAAGCGGGTTTTCCGATAACAGGCGGCACGGAATATCGTGTCCAACATTCTTCATCGCTGGGCGCGTAGTATTGCCACGGTTGGAAATTATCACCATCGACCGATCTCTCCAAAATCCATGCTGCAGGCCGTGGAGAATTGGCTGCTTTCACAATCACGTATTCTATTTGGTACACCTAAACACAAGATATAACAGTATAGTGTAGATGCAGTTTAATAGCAATATCAAAATTTATTTTCAATTGACCCACACACACACATGTTCACATTCAATTTTTAATAACTTCCTTTATTGGGTAGATTGGAAATGTTCCACGTGTTTGGACAAGGATGTGCATATATTACTTCGAAATCAAAGATAGCACTGCGATTGTTTAAACTCTAACGCAATGCTTCGTCTTTGAAATGATGGGTTCTGCGATACACGAGACGCCCACGGTATCTCTCAAGCCGTTTCGTTCCGGCGTGCAATAGTATTATACGCAGCGAAAAGCGAGATGGAGGGCAGAGATCCATAGATACACCGTCGTTTGCCAGAATCCCCGCGGAGCGCCAGTGAATTTTCTCCCGTATAATTAATTCCAGGCACGCAGAAATCTTATGGAATTATTCACGTGCCTGTATCGCCTGCAATCCGTCCAACTGTGTCACGCTTCCTGCCGCGCGGGCTAATAACAATACGTGTAGATGCGTACCTACGTTCCGTATCCTTAAAAATAATTGCCACTCGTAATATTTGTAACTACGAAATGAATAACAAAATTCCTATTTGTGTCTTGGGACTATCTCTAAAGATGATTCTGGCAAGTGGCTAAAAATTTGAAATAAGCTGTAATAGGGCATATTTATTTGAGAGTTTCCATTGCTTTTGCTATCTATTTCTGAAGTAGCCATTTACTTTTTTAATTTTACGAACGTCAACATGATTTTCGATTTTTATTGTAGAGGACTTGTGTTGTCTTCGGAATAAACTTTTAATTTCATAGGATTCAGGATTTCATACGATAGGAAATCAAAGGGTTCACGGTTTTACATAAATGGATGAATAATTAGGGGGAGCTAAAAAATTTTATTTCATATTTTCGATTTATTTAGTTATCTACAATCACTCCGCTTATACCATCAATGTTGGAACAGGTTGTATGCTAAACTTCATATTTGCCTTCACTTACCGCCCAATTATTAGTACATAATTATAATAGCGTAAATTTTTTATAACAGGGTAAAGAAGGGTTAATAATTTGTCCGGGGGTACAGTAACTCACGCGTACCGACAAGCAAACGTCGTGTCACCGAGGAGACACCCGAGGGCCTGTTTCGTCAGGTTAACAAGACAGGAGCCCCTCATTCTCTCGTCGGGTCCGTCTTTTCTGATTGTCCACGTTCTCGTTGTCGTTACGACGGGGCATTGTGAGGCCGGACTGACGCCCACTTTCGGACCATAAAGACAGATCGTATGCCCGCGATACCGGCTGGGATCCGTTTCCTTCTAAGGATTTCGCTGGATACTCCGCGACTACCCGAAGAAGCGGACTTCAATTATCCCGATCCGTTCGTCCGCCCCATCGGCCTGCGTGCCTCCGACGCGATCCCGATTCCGGCTAGTCGCTGAATCATGGAAACCTGCTCGTTAATATGCATCTCGAGACAAGACTCGCTTCCATTTAATTCAAAATTTCATCACACATTACGTTTTTCTTTAAGGATTCTCCATCGTCTATGAACCTATCAGATATTAATCCATCTTTTTTATAGAAACGGTTTTATCATAAAGCCGATATAATCAAATTTATTATTCGTGTTCGTTTCTTTCTTGTAATTTCAATTACATCTATAT